CAACTATAATTTAAACTAGATAGTAAAGCATGTGATTATATTTTTAGCATGAGGTTAAATGATAAGTGATAATACTTGTACCCTTATCATTTTTCTTTTTGAATCGTGCACAGTTATACCATAGATTAAATACAAATAGATAAGCCATGGCAATCAAACAATTGGTTACCGATTTTTTGTTAAATTATACCTGTAGAGATAGCGCTATATATGCTCTCAAGAAATATTAAATATTTAATAATAACTGCTCAGCTCGTTGATATTAATAGCCGCAATTATCGTTATACGGTCAACACTAGTGATGGGCATAATCGAATGATTTCGATAATCGAATGATTAGTAATCGAGACATTTTCATAATCGAGTGAATCTCTCGAAAAATCACTCGAAGTTAAAATCGTCTGCTCGTATGATAAGAATAATCAACTATTATTATTTATTGAGAGAATCGAAAAATTATTCGAAATATGAATAAATATACCTATAGTAAATAATTATTAATTTAATTTTGCTTTTTTTATTTGTTGGTGTTTATTTATAATTAATATATTAAACTATAATTTAGGAATAATAATAACAATAATATATTAATAATGCATTATTAATAAGTGCTTTAAATAAAAGACAAGTTGTTATTTTTATTATTTAATAATTATTACCTATATTTTAAAAAAACCGATAACAAATTTAAAAATAAAAACATAAGATAAGGTAGCAATAGCCTGCTTGACCATCATAATTAAAACACCTAATTCCACACCTAATTGATTTTTCATAAATTCACAACTAGTGAGAGAATCAGAACTCAGTAGTTTAGCCAGTTCAGGACAAAACTTTGTTCTAATCGTCACATACTTCCCAAAAATGTGACAGATAAGGTGTTGTCATGAGTAGCGATTGAACGAGTTGAAAATAAGAAGACTCGAAGTCAACAATTTAATAATAATTCGACTATAATTTATGCTAAATAAAAACTTAAAAATAGTATTCTCTCGTTTCATCGTTTCATGGACATCATTCGAAATAACTTTTATTCGATTATATACATTTCAAGATCAAGAAATCATTGTTTTTATAATAAACGAGAAATCATTAGAAATAATCACTCGATTATAGAATAATCAATATTATTTAAAAAATCAGAATATCTCGATTATATAATAGATATGATTTCAATAATCGAGATATCTCGATTATTTTCATAATCGAGATATATCTCGATTATGCCCATCGCTAGTCAACACCACTAGTGCAAATTACGATAAGAACTAGTTATTATTAAAAGGCAATTGCTTATTTGATTTAAATGAAACTTTTCGTTATAATTGTATGTGTTTTTTATTTTATTAATATTGATTTATATTTGATTATTATTTGTTTTAATTTCGATGCAAAGGTATTGGTTTTATTATGATATGTTTTTTTTTGTGTCTGTTACCACTTTTTCTCAGCCCTCACCGAACGGATTTCTTTCAACGATACGTCAAAAGATCACAAATCGTATCTAGTCGAAGACATTACCCTCAAAAATTGAAAAAATTTCCCTCGTTCCCCATAAATGGGGGAAATCTCCAAAAAAAAAACAAATTTCAAAATCGCTAATTTTCGAAATTTTTTTTACTAAAAACTGCCATAACTTTTTCAAAAATGAACATATCAATATAATTCTTTTTTATATAGATGCATGATATTATCACCTTTCATTTGGTATATTTTTTTCATAAATTTAACCCTTAACCTCCCCACAAGGGGGGATTTAAAATGACAACTTTTTTACAAAAAATTAATTTTTTCAACTTAACTTTTGAAAGTGTTCCAGAAAGTCTGACACTTTTATATATATCTTAAATTAAAGCTAATGTAATATACTTTATAATGGTAAAAAAAAATTTCGGACTTTATTTTATCTTCATGGTGAAAACAGACATTAAACTTAATAAAAAAAATACGATTTTTGTAAAAAAATTCATTTTTATATTTTTAACTTTATAATGCTATAACTTTTTGAAAGATGTATGGATCAATATAATTTTTTTTTTATAGATGCATGATGTCTTTACCTATCATTTGGTATATATTTTTTTTATATCTGACCCTATACCTGCCCACAGGGGGGGATTTAAAATGACCACTTTTTCACAAAAAATTGACTTTTTCAACTTAAATTTTGAAAGTGTTCCGGAAAGTCTGACACCTTTATATATATCTTAAATTAAAGCTAATGTAATTTACTTTATTTTGCGAAAAAAAAATTTCGGACTTTATTTTATCTTCATTGTGAAAATGGCTACCGAATGCTATTATTGTGTGAAAATTCTCGATTTTATTTTTTACATTTTTAACTTTATAATGCTATGACATATTGAAAAGTGTATGGATCAACATTATTTTTTTATGAGAAATAATATTTTTTAATAATCCCTTTTTCATTCTACATACTTTATCTTAATTAGGATATTAATAATGAACTAGCAGATCATGTAGCTTTTGGAATAGTCCACCAATTTTTTAAAATTAAACAGTATCTAAAATTTGCATCGAAGCGTTTTTTTTGATAGTGATTTTAATCACTGTCAGATATCATAATACTTGATCCAACTATGCCACGTCACCACTGTGCCGCGACCCCCCTGTGCTGGGTTTTTTAAAATTGAACATATACTTGCCTGTATTAGATGTAGCACCTATATCATTTGAAACAAAATAATATGAACTTATTTTTACAAAAAATTGTTAGGATATAAGTAAGTATTACAGGAACGACAATACTCAATATCTAAATTTTACACAGATATAAAATTTATGTTTATAATACCAATAATAATCGGTTTCAGTTTTTTTTACTTTATAATGCTATAACTTACTGAAAAGTGTATGAATCAACACAATTTTTTTATGAGAAATAATATTTTTTAATAATCCCTTTTTCATTCAATATACTTTATCTTAATCAAGATATTAATAAGGAACTAGCAGATTATGTAGCTTTTGGAATAATCCACCAATTTTTTAAATTTAAACTCTAAACATTTGCATCGAAGCATTTTTTTTTGATAGTGATTTTAATCACTATCAGATATCATTATAGTTGATCCAACTATACTACGTCACCACTGAGCCGCGACCCCCCTGTGCTGGGTTTTTTTAATTTTCACTTAATGTTGAGGATCTTAACTTACTACATAACAACTTTTTCGCTACCGATTTTTTTACTGTCAAGATTTTTATATTACTTGGTGTTTAATTTCTTAATTTACCTGTAATCAGGTGTATATGTGGTATTAATTACTAATTATGCATTTTATAAGGTTTTCGTGTATAAAAATTAGTAATTAATTTTTTTAGGTACAATATAATAGAAAAAAAAACCCAGCACAGTTGTGTGGCGGCACAGTGGGGTCGTGGCATAGTTGGGTCCAGTATAGATGATATCTGACGGTGATTAAAATCACTATCATAAATAACGCTTCGATGCAAATCTGTAGATAGTGTTTAATTTAAAAAAAAAAAATTTGTTAAAATAGCATATTTTTGAATACGGTAGCCATTTGCGCATAGAAG